AAGGAGCAGTCCTATTTTGTGTTATATAGACCACAATGAGTTGGAATCAACTCAGTGGCAGTGGGTTAGGATTTGTGTGTGTGTGTTTTGTTGTTTTATTTATTTATTTATTTATTTTGGTTGGTTAAGTTGCTAACACTTAGTACTATGCTTTAGAGATGTTGGGATTCATTCTAGCCAACACCATTGTCTGCATGACTCCTAGATCTGGATATAAAACAAGGGCATTATTTTCCTTCCCTAAGTTCCCCTCCACCACTCATCTGTCATTTTGTCATACTGTGATGTCTTGTGTGTTGCTGTGTTGCTAGAAACTATGCCATTTTTTTTTAAAAAAAGTTTTTATTGTGAATTAAGTGATAGTTTATATGGGAGAACATGGGTTTTACACTCATTGTTTCATTGCAATCATCACAATCTCCTCCATGTATCATCATTCAACAGTATTTACTTCTATTTCCTCTGGTTTTTTTTTTTTAAGGGGGCAGTGAGATGTACACAACAAAAACACTCAGGAATATATAATCATTTAAACAACCAAAGGGCACATTCTGCAAGTTGGCCTTTTGGCATCCAGCACACAGCTTTTCTCTTTCCATGAGTCTAGAGTCTTCAGCAGCTCTATCTCTCCATGTCCTTATCTCTGCCTCCATCTCTGGTGTCACTGCTTCTCTGGATAGTGTCTCACATTCTGCCTGTGCTCTTCTCCCTAGATGGTCCTAGCGTCCTCTGTTCCTGAACTGTAAAATTACCTATTTCCTCCTTTTTTTTTTTTACAAAATTTCTACCTTTACAGTTGTGACAGTCACAGTTAGTCATAAGAACAATTATTCACTATTATAAGAATCGTATCCCCATCTCTTTTCACCAGACCCATCTAGACAAGATGAAAACTATTCAGTGGGGATTCTACCTTCCCCCACAATCTCTGAAACTAAACTCCCTCTTGAAAACTTGTAAGCCAGTCACTTACAAGTGACTCCTCATTTAGTGTCTAAGTTACCTGTCCCTATCAACCCTGTATACAGAGGGAATAGAATTGATACTTGATGTGATGACTCCTTCCCTCTCAGTTGGTGTTTTGAGTTACTACATCCAAAAGCATAGGTCAAGTTCATCAAATTGTAGCAATTTATACTTGTTTCCTTTATCAAAAAAATTTTTTTAATCTTCCTCTAGGCGAGTTCTGATCATCAAGCTATTGAGGATAGGTCAAATGGGTACTATCTACAAGTCTGGGTGTTCTTGTTATGTCGTGGTATTTTTAAATACCAGCAGGGTCAGACATGGTAGCCATGTTTCAGAAGAGCTTCCAGACTAAAACAGGTTGAGAAGAAGGAGAGCAGACCAATTCCGAATGCTTAGCCGTTGAACACCTTATGAATAGCAGAGGAACACAGTCAAATATAGTGCCGGAAGATTATTCCTGGAGATTAGAAAAGACTCAAAAATATGACTGGGGATGAACTATCTCCTTAAATTGGAGTTGACCATAAAGACGTAACTGGAGCAAAGCTATCAGGACCTTCATTTGCTAATGAGCACACCTCAAAATGAGCTGCAAACATTCCTTAATAATCAGAATGTGAACTGTATGAAATATAACTCTAGGAAAATTGAAAGCTGTCAAAAGTGAAATGGAATGCATAATGATCAATATCCTAGGCATTGTTGTTGTTAAGTGCTGTTGAGTTAAGTCTGACCCATAACAACCCTGTATAGGGTTTCCAAGGAGCAGCTGGTGAGCTTGAACCACCAATCCTGAAGTTCAAATGACTTTGCAGTCCAGCACATTAACCCCATAGCACCACACCAGGACTCTATCCAAGGCATTAGTGAGCTGAAATTGACACGTATTGATAATTTTGAATTGGATAATCATATGGTTTATTTTGCCAGGAACACCATATTGAGGAATGCAGTGCCATATGGAGGAATGACATTGCATTCATCATAAAAAAAAGAACATTTCAAGATATATTTTGAAGTACAATGCTGTTTATAATAGAATAATATTCATACGCTTACCAGGAAGACCAATTAATATGACTATTATTTAAATTTATGCATCAAGCACTAAACTAAGTGATAATGAAATTGGAGAATTCTCCCAACTTCTTCATTCTGAGAGTGACCAAACATGCAATTTAGATAATTTGATAATTACTGGTGCTTGGAATGCCAAAGTTCAGAACAAAGAAAAATGATCATTAATTGAAAGATCTGGCCTCAGTGATAGAAGTGATGCTGGAGATCGCATGATATAATTTTGAAAGATCAATGACTAATTGATTGAAAATCCCTTTTAAACAACATAAAAGCTGACTGTATACATGGACTTCACCAAAAGGAATGCATAGGAATAAATTGACTATGTCTGTGGGAAGAGACAATGGAGAAGCTCAGTATCATCAGCCAAATCAAGTAAGGGAAAGACTGTGGAACAGACCTCATATGCAAGTGTAGGTTGAAGCTGAAGAAAATTGAAACAAGTCTGTAAAAGCCAATTACGACTTTGAATATATTCTACCTGAATTTCAAGACCATCTCAAGAACTGATTTGATGTATTAAACACTAATGAATGAAGACCTTAAGAGTTGTGGGACATCAAGATCATCATATGGGAAGAAAGCAAAAGGTCATTAAAAAGACAGGAAAGAAAGAAAAGACCACAATGGATGGCAGAAGAGACTTTGACACTTGCTCTCTAGCTTAGAGAAACTAAAGAGAATGAAAGAAATGAGGAAGCCAAAGAGCCTAATAGAAAACGTCAAAGGGTGGCTCCAGAAGACAAAGACAAGTACTATAATGAAATGTGCCAAGACCTGGAGTTAGAAATCCAGAAGGGAAGAACACGATCAGCATTTCTCAAAACTTGAAGAAAAATGTAAGCTGCAATTTGTAATACTGAAGGATTCTATGGACAAAATACAGAATGCTGCAGAGAGCATCAAAAGAAGATACAGAATTACTGTATCAAAAATAAATGGTCGATGTTCAACTATTTCAAGAGGTAACATATGATCAAGAACCAATGGCATTGAAGAAAGAAGTCCAAGCAATACTGAAGGTGTTGGCATAAAACCAGGATCCTGGAATTAATGGAATACTAATAGAAATATTTCAACAAACAGATGCAGCACTGTAGGATAAAATACTAGACTGCAAGGTCAGTCTGAACCACAAGGACAGCAGTTCAAACCGAAGAGCAGCAGCTGCTCTTCAGAAACCTTACACAGGGTTGCTAAGAGTCAGAACTGACTCAATGGCACTTACCAATAACATGGGGGGAAAAGTTGCACATGAAAGTCTATTCAAACATGGTTTTATTCAAAGGTTAAATTGGCACCCAACAACATTTCTTATTGTATTAATTCCATAATTGTGACTATGATCAAATGCTGACCACAGATGTGTCTGATCTTTCAATCTGTTGTCCATTTCCACAGAAGTAAACACAAGAAAGACACTGTTACTCCGTATTGAAAAGCTGTCTATCAAGTAAAAATATGAGCACAAGTGAAGCATAAAATATAAACATTTCATCAATATTCTGTACTATTCCAGCAAAACATTTATATTGTTTCAAGTAGTTCTTCCCAGTAGTGTATGACAGCAGTACTGTCTTTGAAAAGCCTCAGTTTGTATTACTTAAGGAATAACGTATCATGCTTTCTAATGTTGAAGATATTCACATTTTCTTAGAAAGTTAACCTGCTCTGTCATTTAAAATGAGCTTGAATGCACAGCCACTAGCACAAGTTATAAGTGTAACATACAGTTTATTCTGCAGAACCCACATGATCTCCCCAAATCTCATTATCCCACTGAGAGTCATACATAGGCACTTGTATACTCTTGGACAAGGGCTACCATGCCTTTACAAATGTCTACAGATTTTAGGAGACAAGGATGTAAGAAACATCTTTGTAACAATAGAAGCTTCTTAGTTGAGAATATAGATTCTTTAGGAAGTGAGTAGACTCTGGAATCCATGATGTGAGCATGATTTCTGTAAGTTTCATTTCTACTTAGATTTATCAAGCCAGTTCTTTGAAGAGATTACTTGATAGTCGTTGGTCTAGAGTTTTGAGCCATTTGTTAGCTGAATGACCTCACCTATGTTATGAATCTTCTCAACTTCGGATTCATTTTGTTTTTAAAAATGAGTAAAGACACATATCAGTAAAACCTATTTATTACAAGAAACTTTATGTTATTATGTAACTACATTTGTTATGAAGACTTTATTGGCAAAAGGATAGGCTAACACTTGGTGAGCTCTTAGCATATATTTCAACCTCACAGCCAAACTATAAATTGAGTACTCTTTTACAATTTGTTATGAAGTGCCATCAAGTCAGTTCCAACCCATAGGGAACTGTATAGGGTTTTCAAGGAGCAGCTGGTGAGCTTGAACTGCCGACCTTACAGTTCAAACGGCTTTGCAATCTGGTGTATTAGCCCACAGCACCACACCAAGTGCATACAAATTGTAACATAAACAACTTTCAAGCTCAAGCTGTTTGGCTCTTAAAGCACATGTTTTCTTTCATTAAGTTACTTTATCTCCTGGTTTTAGAATATTTAACTCTGAATGTGTATCTGTGTTATTATCTGATTTCTGGGAGTACGTACTGTAGAGTTCATTGCCACTACTGCATCTTCCTTTTGTTAGAGGGAAGCATTTAAATTATATATTTTAAAAAAATTACTTGGCTGGCGCTGGTACAGTGAAAGATACATAGATCAATGGAACAGAATTGATAATCCAGAAATTAACCTTTCCACATACAGCCAACTGATCTTTGACAAAGGGCCAAAATGCACTGAGTGGGGAGGAGATGGTCTCTTCAACAGATGGTGCTGGCAAAACTGGAAATCGATATGCAAAAGAATGAAACAAGACCTTTACTTCACACCATGTCCAAAAACCAACTCGACATGGATTAATGAACTAAATGTGAATCCCAGTCTTATAAAGGTCATCAGTGAAAAAATGGGGACAAATTCAAGGGCTCTAACGCTCACAAGAGTGCACTGGCCAGTGGGTGGAGTGAAAAAGCTACATCGCTACAGGCCGGGCATAGTGGCTCTGCGTGAGATCCAGCGCTACCAGAAGTCCACTGAGCTGCTGATCTGCAAGCTGCCATTCCAGCGACTGGTGTCGGTCTGGGAAATTGCTCAGGACTTTAAGACCGACCTGCGCTTCCAGAGCTCTGCCGTGATGGCGCTGCAGGAAGCATGTGAGGCCTACCTGGTGGGACTCTTTGAAGACACCAACTTGTGCGTCATCCACGCCAAGCGTGTCACCATCATGCCCAAAGACATCCAACTGTCTCGCCGTATCCATGGTGAGCGGGCATAAATTGTGCACTCCTAAGCTCTGGTAGCGTAGTGGTTACGAATCGGGCTGCAAACCTTAAGGTCAGCGGTTTGAAACTACCAGCTGCTCCACGGGAGAAAGATGAGGCTTTCTACTCCCGTAAAGATTTACACCCTCGGAAACCCTGTACAGGGTCGCTATGGGTCGAAACCGACTCGACGGCACTTAACAACAACAACAACAACAAAGCTATGAGTTAGAACTGATTCCCCGGCACATAACAACAACAACAACAAAGCAAGTGCTAAGGAGCTCTGGCAGTGTAGTGGTTACAAATCGGTTTGTTAACCTCAAGGTCAACAATTTGAAACTACCAGCTGTTCCACGGGAGAAAGAGGAGGCTTTCTGCTACGGTAAGATTTACAGCCTTGGAAACACTGTTTCACAGGGTCCCTATGAGTTGGAACCAACTCCACGGCACACAACAACAACAAAAACAAAAACACAGGGCACACATAGACTATCAAACATTGCGAGAATTGTACAAACAAAAGAAGACAAAATTGATAATTGGGACATACTAAAAATTAGAAAATTATGTGCATCAAAAGATCTTACCAAACGTGTAAAAGGAAGCCCACAGAATGTGAAAAAATCTTTTGCAATCACATATCAGACAAGGGATTAATCTCTAAATTCTATAGGAAACAAATCCTCCACAAGGAAAAAGACAAATGACCCAATTAAAAAATGGGCACAGGACATGAACAGACACTTCACCAAGGAAGATATTTGGGCAGCCAACACACATATGAAGAAATATTCACAATCAGTAGCCATTAGAGAGATGCAAATCAAAACAATGAGATATCATCTCACACCAGCAATAACAGCAAAGTTCAAAAAAGCAGAGGACAATAAATGCTGGCGAGGATGTGGAAAGACTGGGACCCTCCTACATTGCTGGTGGGAGTGAAAATGGTTCAACCACTCCGGAAAACAGTATGGTGCTTCCTCAGAAAGTTGTAAATAGAAATACTTTATGATCCAGTAATTCCTGTACTTGATATATACCCACAAAAAATACGAGCCAGTACACAAGTAGACATATGCACATCAGTTTTCATAGCAGCACTATTCACAATAGCAAAAAGATGGAGACAGCTTAAGTGCCCATCAGTGGAAGAACGGATAAACAAACTTTGGTACATACACACAATGGAATATTATACTACTTTGAAGAATAACAAGGATGTTGCAAGCCACCGCATAACATGGATGAACCTTGAGGACATTATGCTGAATGAAATTAGTCAGTCACTAAAAGACAAATATTGCATAAGACCATTATTGTAAAAGCTTAAGAAAACATACCCATACTAAAAGGGGGGGAAATTATTTGTAGATTACTAGGGTTGGGAGGGAGGGGATGGCAGAGCACAATGTAGGCTATAGACACATCATAGTTTGGGTGTTGTGGAAGGCACTACACATGAAGGTGGAGGGGGATCGAAGAACAAGGTAGATAGGTGAACACTTAGGTAGGTTTGCATGGGCTTAATGGGACAGAGGTAAATAGTAATGTATGCTCAATCTTGGAAGAACAGGGCTCTGTGATACAAGTATGAAAGCATAGTCTAGGTGGTGGTGGTTATGTGCTGTGAAGTCAGTTCTGACTTATAGCGACTCTGTGTAGGGTTTCTGAGGCTGTAAATCTTTGCAGGAGCAGAAAGCCTCATTTTTCAACTGCAGAATGCCTGATAGTTTTGAACTGCTGACCATGAGGTTAGCAGCCCAATTCATAGCCACTACACTACCAGAGCTCCTTATAGTCTGGGTAAGAGAGGGGAAATAATATTAGTCTGCTTGACGGTCTTTTGAATATTGGTTTCCCTTGCCTACTATTGCAAAATAGAAAACTCGAATGGGAAAAAAAGACATATCAGGAAACATGATTACTGAAAGTTTGTAAACCCATTTTCAGCCTATAACTCATTGAAATACTTAAAAGGAGTTCTAGAACTTATCCAGTGAAACAGGTTTCTTGCAGAGCCTTTCTAGTGTATAGGACCTTAGGTGTAATCCTGAACCCCATCCAGAACCTTCTGAGGTGGGACATTCCCACTTGAAAAAATAAGCAGACCATCCTGGTGCAGCTAGAGGAACAGAAGATACTTCTAGAAAGAAAGATAAGCAGGAAAAATCAAAAACAGTAGTCTGAATGGCTACTACAAGGAAAAGTAGTTGTTTGCTGGTGAGCCATCAAGGCAAGCAATCAAGTCCCTTCAGGACAACCCACACTCCAAGACTGAAACTCAAAGGAATCACAGGAGCAGCCTTGTAAGATTGCTGGTGACCATGTTGGTCTACTGATGAGTGGAAGTGGGGAAAAGGCAGCAATGAAGATATGGATTGAATCCAACCACATGCCATAAACACCCATTAACCTGGAGATGAGAGAGAAGAGGAAGGGCTGGGTGGTCTAAAGAATGCTGTGACCTGGAGTCTCCTGAGCCCATGGACAAGGACATAGCCACTGAGGGCTAGAGCTGAGAGTGGAACATCCAGCTGATATGAAGTGAGGGGAGACACAGAAAAATGCCCAAACTTGTACATAGTACCCATTTGACCTGGCTTTGATGGCTTGAATATCATAACTCGACTAAAAGAAGATAAAAAAAAATTTGATAAAGGAAACAAATATAAATTTCTACAATTTGATGAAATTATTGGACAATCTCTTTGATATCCCATGTGAGCAAAGTTTTGCTAAAGGTAATACAGAAATGGCTACAATCATATATTGACAGAGAACTTCCAGAGGTTCAAGCCAGATTCAGAAGATGCTGTGGAACAAGGATATCATTGCTGATGTCTGATAGATCTTGGCTGAAAGCAAAGAATAACAGAAAGATGCTTACCTGTGCTTTATTGACTATGCAAAGGCTTTCGATTGTGTGGATCATGACAAGCTATGGACAACATCGCAAAGTATTCCGGAAC